TTTTGTTAGATCAAATCGACACTATACATGTATAATGTGTATACTTTCATCAACCTATATTGGCCATACTATTATACATCTACGAAACGGTATTTTTCTTTTATCGACATCTATCGTTTTTAGTTTAGGACGATTAAATTAAGTATATTTTAACTAATTAGTGTTTATTTGTTTAGATAAAACTATTACGTCTTATATATTTATAAAAAACTACACATGCTTGTTATTTAATTGCTATATTGAATAGACTTTTCACGTACGACGTCCTGCCTATTTCCATTTCGATACTTCCAGTAGGTATTATAACCTAGTCCTTAGAAATATTCCAACTTATAATAAATATTAAACATTTTCAATATATTCTGAAGAACTATATCTTTACAAATATTATATACACTTATTCAAATAAATATTATACATATACTTATAATATGATATACATTTTAAAAGTGTTTTAAACAACAATTGATTACTTTAAATTTTAATAGTTTACTTCGCCAAATATTAATGTAGTCAATCATTATAGAGTGATTATTATTTAAAATAGTTTAACGTAATTCACAAATAACCAAAACTCAAACCTCGAAAGGTATTTAAAGCAATAAATAAAATTAAAATATTAGAGACGACTAGGTTTTTTGTTTTCCAAGTATAGTATTGATCTTTTACTAAGTAGGCCAATCATATTATGGTACCTGTTTAAATTATATAATATGATATCTGAGAGCTCGCTCTCCACAAATTAGGTTGCTGCGTATTTGATGGAAAACATATTATAGACAATATTGCAATTTAAACAAAAATATTTTTATTCTGTGTTTTTTTTTTGTTTTTGTTAATAATAATTAATAGTTTCCTATTGGTTATTTTTCAATAGTTCTGTATGACTTATATACATATTATATATTTATATGTAACTAACTGATTTAATTACATAATATGTTAATAGTTGAAGTCGTGTAAATATAATAGTATGTAATACAATAAAATAACTACCTACTTTATTTATATTAATTGTTTCAGTCCCATAATGTCATGGTCGTGGTTTTAATACATAAACAGATACATTAAGTATTTTATAGGTACATATTGGAGTAAATGCGTAATATTCAACTTCTAAACTTCTAAAGTATATCGTATATCGTATATATATTACAAAGATTTAAGTACCTGAACCAAAAATAAATATTATTTTTATTTAAGTAGTACAAATTACAAATATAATATTACCAAAACGTGCTCGATGTATGGAAACAAGAGATTAATGATGTATTGTAGCGATAGCTCTTAGAATAGATCCTAGTCATAGATAACATTTTTAATGGAAAAATGGAAAATCAATAGAAAAATTGTAAAAGTGGATGTTTTTCAACTGGTAATTCTTTCCAAAAGAAAGAATTTATCAATCTCCTTTATAGATATTAAAGTGGATTTGTTGTGACTCACATAATTCAAACTAAAGAATATAGCATTTTGCTTACAATTTCAACGGTTATAGGATTATTGCACGAATTTATAACTTACGAACGGCGTAATTTATAAATAAAGATAAACGTTTAAATTGTACGTCTAATCATTTGAAAATGTAGCAAAGGCCAGATAAAAAAGGTACGAGGACCACCAGTTGCTTATCCATGCTATAAACGGTAGACTGTCAAAAAGTCCAAGTAAATAAGTCTGCTGTAAAAAAGACCGGTAGGTACATATAATAAGGCATAAGGAAAAAAATAGATGTTATGAACAATTATATTAGCATAAATTTTAATTAAATGATTTACTTGACGTAATTAACAACTAATCTTGTGAGTACCAACCAATATCAGCGATCACATCTTGTTAGTATAATAATATTATCATAAGTACCTATGTACCAATACATATATAGCTACTTTCTTTGGACTTTGAATACTGCTCGACATGTAGGTCCACGCAATATTAAACCACTGCTTTTAATTTTTATCCAAATTATCTGGTTTGTCGAGTTTTACTCAAATATAGCCATATTCATATAGAATATTATTCTTTTGTATGAATAATTATTAATTTTTATAGAACAAGACTTAGTAAATAATAATCATAACTATTGTATTATTTTTAAAAATAATTTTTATTTTTTCTATAAGGATACCGGACATTTCACCTAGGAATATTTTACCGTGATTCTTTATAAACAGGACGTATAGATATTTTGGCCAATGTGAAAATACGTGCGTATCGTGTATGAGTATGACTAATAACTAATAAGTATTATACATAGTATGAGTGTTGAGGGTATGGCCCTATGACGTATAATATAATTAATATATATATTTAAATATTTTCTATATTACATAACCTCATCTCCTATTAGTCTATGATAGACCATCACAATAAGCACATGTTACATGTATGAAACAAGTCAAAACAAAAAAAGCCCACGGAAAAAAATCCACCGAAAAAAATTTAAATATAATTCATGAAAACATAATATATTGTGTTATGAGTTGTAATTTATAATTATAAATTGTTTTATAATGAGTCGCTAGGTAGTTAATGATATAACAATATAGAACCTACAGTTAAAAAACATCCGTCTTAGGTATATACTATATTTATACAAAAATTAAACAACTAGAAAAATAATAAAGTAAGTCAATACAAAACAGTTGGTAGTACCTATAATATTAGTTCGTTGCTCAAGTTTAATACAAGGGGAATGGATACACACCAATGGACCTACTATTTTTTTCATTATTATTCATCTTAGTAACATCAGCTACTAGGCTATTAGTTATTATTATTATCTGCTATCTACATTATATACTAGGTATTAAGTTTTATTGTATTATGCTTTTTCGAATTATAATTAACGAAATATTTTTAAAATATAAAATAGTATAACTGTATAGTACCTACTCGCGTGGACTTTTCTTTCCATCGGCATTTTGTCCGTGGTGTGTTTATTATTTTGGACTTATTTCCGTTTAATTTTTTTTTGTGGACTTTTTTCCACCTGCTGAAATAATTTTTGTACACTCGGCAGAGTCCGGACACTTGTTTATTTTTGGCACAATAATAATATATATATGTATTATGTATATCATACAATATTGATTTTTTGTTCGGTCCCGGAGACTTGTAAGTTGTAATTCGTATACATGTATAATGTATATGTATATATTCACTAATCGCATATGTGTATATTTTCTTTTTGGCGACTGTACATCTATACATAGTCTCAAATTATAGAGGGTCGAAGAAGCAGCTGCCATGTAGGATGTAGCGATCCTTATTATGTGCAGCAACTGCTGAATACCGTCTGCAAGCGATACCATTTTTCGGTTTATGATAACTTGAGCTGAGAGTATGCCCACATAATACATGTTTGTACAGAATAAGGATTTATGTTTTAAAATTTTAGAGTCAGCGTGCTTTTACTTTTCGGTGGTTAACATACTGATGGGGTGTTGGTGCAGTGTGTGGTAGTCTTCGTAAATATTACACAAAATATAGGGGTGAGCCTAACTGGCTATATTATATATGTATATGTGTGTATACATATATAGCTTTAAAGGTAGTCGCCATATTGTTAAACGTTAAAACTCCCGATGGGCCGATAGTAGATCCACAGCAATATTAATGTTGTAGGTACTCGGTACTCGCATGATTTATGAAGGGGAGAAAACTCGTTTTATCTCCACACACAAATACATACATATATATGTATCGACCATGATGGTCCATCATCGGACCATTCTTATAGTTTATTCTGTAGAGTCTGTAATATATTATTATATTCTATTTAACGACCAATGGTGGTGGCGAGGTGTACCTATAGTTGAGTACTAAACAGTGTGTAGCTTTATACATATATCAGCTAACTGGTGTGTTGTTTGATGGGGCGTGTAGGCCGTAGTAGCATAACTGCATATAGACATTATATTTTGTCGGCGAGTAGGCCTGCCATTTGACTAGTATAAGACACAAGTCGAAGAGATTTATCTTACGCAGATGTCAGAAGACCCATAGGGAAGGAGAAGGTGAGCGAGAAAAAAATGTTTCAAGAGTTATTTTTAAATTAAGGATAGGTGCCTGCTGTGCTCGGGCTGCCACTGCAGGGTATCAATTAATATTATATACCCGACGAGTCGTGTCACTAATTATATTCTGTATTACCACAGAAAAATATTGCCGATTACTTCGGGATTTGCGGCAACGGTTCTTATAGCCTGGTCGTTTGATTATAACAAGAATAAAATCATACTGTCGTTCGGGTCACAGTTGACTCAGGATGACACGGTATAATTGGGAACCGTAAACATTCCATTTTCCATTTTTACGATTGACCCGACGAAAATATTATCAAGAAATAATAGTGTCTAGTGCGTGTGCGGGATGATTGGGAAGCCTGGGAAAGGCCAATGAATTCGTTCGAGGAAAAGAACAAGTTTATCGCTGATTAGTGAAAACTGATATACGCCACTATGCCAGCTTATGTCATCACACATAATTTAAATATTAATCTGTAGGAACATATTATTATACTCCGTAGGAACCACCGGCCGCCGCTCGATCTATCACGCACACGCCATGCGCAGGATTTGGGGTTCCCACGTAGGCGGTAGGCACTGGGCCGCCGCGTTAGCTATATCGCCTATATCGATCTCCGCTCGGGCACCGATTCCATACGGCATACGCACGCACTACAATGCGAGGAAGCCCAAAACTTACGTGCGCGTGCGGGCAAGCGAACGAACAGAGCAACACGACATGCTGACACGGCGGGGAACAACTCGGTCGGGGGGAAAAAACTATTGTTCGCCGCCAGAGCGCCTGACGACAGTGTCGTTTTGTTTCTACAGTGCGCCGCTGTGGCGAACAGCTGTTTTCATTGAAATAACGCAGTTGGCTGTCCTACACCACTCGCCCGCCAGCCCACCCCGCCACACAAGTAACTGCGTAGCAGAGTGGTTCGTCGTCCGTCCGTTCTTCCCCGTTCCCGTCCTGTCAATCGTCATTATCCCGACGGCGTACGGATCCGTGGCTATAGTGTGGTAGACGGCACTACGGCGGTGTGCCCATTCTCCATACGGACTCCAACGCCTTTGGTTGGTCGCGTTACATGTTCGCCGTCGCACTTGTCACCGACTTTCTGCGCATGCGCCGAGTTCCAGTCGGATCCATCGTACTATCAGACTTCAAAGTTCAGACCAGTGTCGTAGCCCGTAGGTAGTTGGTAGTTTTTTACCTGCTCGACCTATTGCCGTTGTCCAGCTGATTCTCGTCGACTACGACGGGGGCGGTTTTTAGTACGTCCCGCCATTGTTTTCGCTGACACAGAGGCAATTACCGCCCCACCATTATCTCCGTCACAATAATCGGTCGTCGCGATCATCTTTAACCCTTATCCTTAACTGGAACAGCTACACCACAAGAGCTGGTGAGTAGTGTCTCCGAGTACTATAATTAGCGTATAGATGTCATTTATAGTATTATTGATGCATTACAGTTTAGGGTGGAAAATATTTAATACAGTCTCATTACCACTTTTGAAAAGTGAATAATACAGTAAATTATTAAATTAATTTAGTATTATTTATTACCTAAATTACATAATATTTTATTAAACTGCTTATATCTGTATGTTTTTTTATAGGCCATTGACAAATTATTCTTGATTTGAAAAATTTATTTTGCTTGTTACTGAACGGTACGCGTTTTCAATCATCTATACAAGTCATGGATGAAGATATGGACTGTCCTCACATTTCCGAAGCAGCCGAGAAGTTGAAGTTAGATGTAGAGCAGATTAAAGCTACTCTCAACAATAGGAGTTGCAATGGTGAGATGCTATGTAAAAATGTAGAGTAGAGAGTACATGACACCATAGTAATAAATAAATATTTGAATGCAATGTGGTGTTGACGTCTCGAGCATGATTATAATGATTATTATTACTATTACTGTTGTTATTATTACTATTATAAGGTTCTTACTTTAACTATTATTGTTGTTTGTATTGTTATTACCTCTATTGAGATTTGAGGTGAAACAAGGATTAGAAAATTAGCCAGATGTTTAAACGAGGTGATACTGGTGGTAAAATACCATAGCCCCTATCGCTCTATGACTTCTAAATTATTAATATTAAGAATTGGTTTAGTTTTTAGCAAGTAAGTTAAAAACTTTCTAGTTAAACGAATGCATGTTATGTAGTACCTAATTTTTTAGATACAATTATTACCGTTAAAGTGTGTGCCTGTTGCTTTGGTTTTCTTATGACTATATTAAAGTAATTATTAAGAATATATTTCGTAACTTTAACCTGAAGTTTATCAGAGGAATTAATCTTTGACCTTTTGCCTATAGTTCTAATCACAGTATTAAATTGCTTATTATATTGCATGTCATTTTATTACTTTTATAGTTTTATCTCACAATTAGAATACCTAAATGTAATAAGTGTTTGTTTTGCTATCCCTAGACCCTTATATGCATGTGAGTTTAAGTATAATTGCCTGGAATGAAATTTGAACATTTTTTTGCTCATTCTAAGGACAATTTTAGGTGTTTATTATTATTTTAAAATAATTATGTGGTGAAACATTATTTGCAGATATTTTTAAATTTGTTGGCAGAAGAATATTTGTGCTGTGTACATTTCCCCCTCAAGTATTAGCCAATTTTTATTTCCCTTGGGTGTAAATTCAGACAGTTATAGAGAATAGTCTTATACATAGGATTTAAGAACAATTACTTACTAAAAAATGTCAAAATGTGTTTCAAAATATTAATTTGATATTAGTGGAATGGGTGGTTAATATTCAAGTCTTAATTATTTTTGGAATCCGTGATGTAATGTCCATCCCACATGCAATATAGAAATTTAGTCATTATCTCTTTCCAATGAACTAGTTAAGTCCTATCAGTTCATATCTACTGATATAATAAGTATTCTAAAAACATATTTATATTTGTCTTCTTTAAGATTACATTTTTGAACAAGTCTACTTTACAGGACACTTTTTTTCTTCAACTATGTGTTTTAGTATGCTGAATTCAAGTGTTTAAAAATAATTTGCAGAAACTTTTTATTCATAAGTTACAGCAAATCAAAGTTTTTGATATTATGGTACTTGCTAATCAAATGCTAAATAACTATATTTCTCTTAATTTATTAATAAATTGTAGCAAAATTGGAAATGCAGGACTTTTGAACAGGATCATTTAAAATCAAACTTTTTTTTTGAATTTTCAATAATGTGAAAATAGTATTTTGCAAATATCCATAACATATTAGAATACATGTATCTAGTGTGGTAACTTGCTTACTCGGAAATTATAGTGAAAGCTTCCCTTGATTTGTTATATAAAACCACGTTGGGTAGGCCTTGGGCCTAAACATGTATTTTAAGGAAAAAAAGGGTGTTTGGTAAAGTTGACTTAATCGAATTTATAATTTTAAATTAAATGTTTTGCTTTATCATTTTCGAGTAGGTAGATTAAATAATATATTCTATTGAAGTTAATACTCAACCATTTTGTGCATGTTAACCGAACCGTTAAACACTTCTAAACTCCCTAAGTGTGATTATACGTTCTATCTTCATTCATAATATTGTTAATAGTCACCGGCTCAATGTGGCTGCTGTGTGTTTGTTTTTTTATATATTACACCAGCGGTTCCCAAACTTTTACGACCACGGCACCCTTAAAAAATTATTTGTGTTTCGCGGAACTCTAATGTCTAATCCAACTCAACTACAATTTTTGTAAATTAAAGAAGGAAAATCAATTCCTTAAACTCTCAAGTCCAAATAATATTTTAATGATACTGTTAATGACTTTCATTATTAAACTTAGTTTAAAAAAAATTTTCAATCAAACATTTTTTAAACAACAAACATTAAATAAACATAATTTTCTCAATAATCTCATACATCTAACGGAACCCTAAGGTTCCGCGGAACACACTTTGGGAAACGCTGTATTACACTATGTTCCTTCATTTTAAGTTTTAACATATCTACGTCTCCTGCCCTAGTCCTTAAATAACTTTGTAGCATTGACAGTATTGTGTTATATTAATAGATTTAAGTTGTTTTTTTGGTGGCTTACACTACATTTTGAGATTGAAACAGAATTCCCAAGTCAACTGATTTTACATAAAGATTCCGGTGAATGCTATAGTGGTTTGATGTAATATTTAAATAGAAGATTTTCTAATATTTCAATCAGTGACAATGCAACTGTTCTCCCAAAAAGTGGGAGTAAAAGGCTTGCTGAATTAGTTGTTTGAACACTTATTATTTTTATGCACTTATATTGTTGATTAATTGGGTTTATGAAGTTAAATGTTAAAATGTAGAAAACTGAGATTTTTAGCATTGTATTTTTGTAAAGCATGTTATTGTCATTCAATGTACCTACAAAATAATTTTAGATCATAAATTCCTGGGAAAAAAAGTCAATTATAATATAATATTTATTAATTTTTGGATTGTACACATATTATGTTATGGGTAAAGTAGGAAGTTGGGCACTGTGAATAATAGCCTATTTTAGAGGGCAGAGTTGGAATACCTATGTTTACATTGTCAAGGCATTGTACTATATAGTGCCCAATTAAATATGTTTTTTTTTTTTGATTTGGGCGCTAGATTAAATATTGTAAATATTAAAAATTAAATAAAACAACTTACTGAGCACTTGAATAAACATAAAAAAACGGTACTGGTCTAGTTGAATCTGCCAAGAAAGTATTTCCCCCGCCACTCAGATTTAGTTGACGCCCATCAATTATATTTCTCGTGTTACCTATCTGTGTTCAAGTCATTTTTTATACAATATATACGTTAGGTATTCAGGTGAAATCCCTAATTAGATAATTTAAGAATAATGTTTGGTAAAATCCATGTAGTAAAATAAATGATATAAGATAGGTATAACAGCGGGTACCGTACATAATATTTTAGAGTACTTACCTCAATTATTCAATCGTCGTCATCACTGAAATAATTATATAATACTAAAAATACCTTAGGACTGAAACAATAAATATGAATTTCCAACAAATTTTTCGTGACGTATCCGATGATTCATCGGCAATAATTTTTTGCAAAAGGCAAATATTATTCATAAAACTAAAACTTGTTGATCTCATTTAAGATCATGTAGAACAGATAAAGGTATTAAGACCAATAATTCGATATAAAGTGCCAAGGCTAAAGTTACCTTCTATTTTTCACTTCATTTATGGTTGGGCTCATGAACTAACATCAGTGGACTTTAGTAACCTTTAATTCGGAAATTTTATTATTTTCACTTATTCATATATAATTTATCTATTTTTATTTTGACCACCAGAATTCTTAGTTTAAATGTTCAATCTATAAATACCTACAATTTGATTCATTTTTTAAATAGTTTTCATACCTATTTCAATAAATGATTGATTATTTATTAAAACATTGAAACACAAGAGATGTAATTGGCGGGATTTAACTAAACCTAATTGTGGGGGGAGGGGGTCAACTAGACTAGTACCAAAAACACTTTAAATATACTCCTCAAGTATTAGTTTCCTATTGATAGTTTTTAAATCTATTATCCAGTTAGGTACCTACTATTGAAGAATCAATATTATTATCTAATGGTCTTTCACTCTTTCTTACGATGTCTGGTTATAGTTAACGGACACTTAACCGGCAGAATTCTGCCAGGAATAAAATCTGTTATCAGCTGGTTAGCGTTATCCGACACAACCAGACATTTTAAGAACGGCCCTAAATCTCTTACCTTATTTCTTAATATGTTAATATGTAGGTAACTTATAGTAGACCTATTTACAACTATATTTTTGGCTGTATTTGAAAACACCCAATCTTAATTATGGTTATTTTGGATCATTTTCAACATCTATACTTTTTTATATGGTGTTTTACAAATTAAACGTTTCATATTTTTTTAAAATTTTTAAATTTTTTTGAATGAACATACAGTTTTAATTTTCATATTCTAAAACAGTATATTTTTTTATGTACTTCAATATATTAAAATCAAATTTTGGATAAGTAGCTTATGAGTTATAATTAGACCTCTGATTTAAATACCCTAAAAACTATCCATAAATAGCAAAATATGTATTTTATTCGCAATAACATAGGTGTAAATTTGGTTAAAAATTTGGGAGGGGGTTAGAAATATCAACTGACATATTTATGTAGTTGATTATACTTTCAAGGTCAAGTTAGGAAATACTTTGGATGGCTACGCCTCCCTAACCCTAGAATATACTCTATGCTTAATAATATCCTTAAGAAAAATACCAAAAAAGTTGGAGCAAAAATATGAACTTAACAAAATAAACGCGATTATGATGTAGCACCAACTAATCAATTAGTTGCTACTAGTTTGAGTCTTGAATGTTTAACAACTTTTAAACGTACTGTAGATTGGTAAAGACGTTATCAACGTACCAAAATCATACCTAGTGTACATTGTACCATTCCGAGGGACGTAATCTGATACCGACTCTGTGTTATAGTCAAGTTTTGTAATATAATTTTCAATATTAAGGATTTCCCTTGCATCTAGTTTTTCCTTTTTCACATTCAGTTGTAAGTATGTTTTTACACTTTAATGCTGAACAATTTGGTTGATTGTAACTTGTAAGTATTTCAGTATTTGTAACATCTACTACACAATGTAAATGTACATAGTGAAAGTAATGTCAACACAGTCCATACCTCAGTTGCAAGACACAATGAAAGAAAAAAGTGTACAATGTATTGATAATATATTAGAAAAATCATTGTGTTTGATTTAAACGAGCAATTGCTA